CTTTGTCCTTTATCGTCATCCTGGAAGAGTGCAGCCCGTGAAAAGCCCCTTTGTGATAGTTTATGATAAATCCACAGATACTGTAGGTTCAGTCTGGTGGCAAGCTATGTATAAACTGTTACAGGGGGCCTGTTAGGACCATGTGAGCTGATTCAATCAGTGTTGTTGACACTACAGTAGATCAGTGTTGGAGGTTCAGTAGTCCCAGACTGCCCCACTGTCTGACCGGACTATAATTAATGTTTGCTTATACTAAACACACCCTCTTCATGGGGTTAATTTGCATGCACTTCCTGGTCAAAGGACATTGAGTGTTTTTACTCCCCTCTGCCTGTCTTTCCTTTTTGGGGGGAGAGGATCAAACTAAAGCCTTCCTCCTTTGATACCAGTGAGTTGTGACTCAATCGCTGGGGGTTTGGAATCTTTATTTCTGTCTGAAGCGGAAGTATGGAAGCAATGAGCTTTAATAGGAACCAGAGGACAGTCATGTTTGCAAGCAGTGATCGGGGATTGAGTTCAGCACGTTCTTGTTCGGATTGTGTTGCATCTAATCTTCCTGTAAAGACAGACAGGGGCCCAGGAATTTGACTGACAAACGGAAACTGACCTCCCCTGTCCCTGGCATACGAGTTATCGAAATGGGCATGTGCAGGTCAGCCATGAAGGCAATAAACTGCCAACGATTTCTGTGTCACAATATCAAAGCCGCCTGCCTCTCTGTGAACGCTCTAGAGGACTACATTTGGAGCAGTTCGGGCGCTCGTTTCGTGCAGAAGACGTGTTTAATATTTCTCTGATTCTCTCTCTTGTCTCGCTCCGGCTCTGGGTCGGTTTCTTTCTTTCATCACAAACTCGTCAAACGAGTGACCCCACTCCTGATTGGTTGGGTTTCCTCCGATCTCCACAGCAATTGGCCAGCCAAGCAGCGAGGCTCTCTCTCTCTCTCTCTCTCTCTCTCTCTCTCTCTCTCTCTCTCTCTCTCTTGGCTGTGCTCCAGGGTAGGGTGGTTTGGCATGACGATTTCTCAGGGAAGGAATGCTGACAACAGGAGCGAGTTACCAGGTGTGGCTGCAAGTCAGTTAACCAGAAACAAGTCTTTTATGACAGATCGAGATGAGGAAGCAAGAAAAAAAACAAAAAAAAAAAAAACAGAATAAATGGAAGCACTGAGTGAGACACAGTGGTTTGCTGGGATTTCATCTTCAAACTTCCAGTAGACATCCATAGTATTTGTCAACATCTGTTTGTCTCACGGTGATGATGCAATCGGTTTGTTGTATTAAAGGGAGGTTTCATAAAGTTGAAGGACTTCAATTTTAAATAGAGGCACATGTTATGTTTCGGAATTACGTAAGTTTACTCTTAGCCCGAGACCTCCTCTTCTGTTTCTAACATCCCCTTACCCTCAGTCCCCCCACACTCACACTCACACAGGGTATAGCATAACATTGTATGCTAGCCAGGGTATTTAACACCTAAGCAGGAACTCTCTGAAGCCCCCCCATGTGTGAGCAGATATTAGTAACCAGGGATGCCGTGTTGATCCAGCCTAGCGGAGACCCTGTGTCAAGTGGACTCCTGCTGCTCTGGCTCCATCATTCATATCTGCCTGTTATTTTGCTCTGCGACATGCACAGCCTCAACACTCGCACACTAGTAAACTTGCCGCTCTATATAATCATGGAACTGCTTTCTTAGTCCTCCAGTGGAGATCTATATTGTATCTGAGCGTAACACATGTTTGTACACGTGTCGCTCACGCCAATTCAGCAGGCATTTCAGCAGGAAGGGCTACTGTAGGCCAATTGGCAGTAGTGTGTGAAGAATGCGCTGACATATACATACACACATATTGACTGACACGTGCATAAATGTTCACATGCACACTCCAAAGCATGCTTAGCACCGCAAGTGCAGTTTTTGCAGACTTACTGGCTGGGAGAAACAGTCGTCCACATTAAATAGCAGAGGTTCACTGCCCCCACCAGCCCTCTTTCTGCCGGGGTAATACACACACATTCTGAGCTGTATCCCAAGGAATGACCTCTGCACGACCCCCTAACCTTGCCTTTAATTATTTGTTTGAAGACAGCATGGAGTTCCCATGCTGAGAGGTACTCTGTGTACTGCGTGTGCATGTGTGCGAGTTGGTTGTGCTCTAACATTCAGCAGAGGCAGGCCATAATAAGCAAGACCACCAGATGTAGATAATAAAACACGGGTTTTTTAAGCTAGTGTCCCCTGTGAGCCTCCTGTGTTCTGGTTAGCCTATGGACACACTGGCTGTGGTTGTGGTCATGTCCACGGTGTCGATGTGTAGATTTACAACGCGCATGTATGTTTTAGCGAGTGCTTGGGAATTCTGAGTCCCTGTGGTCAACCTCCGTGTCTCTCTCAGGGCCTTGGGTCCTCAGATCCATCCATCTAGCTGTCCATCCAAGTTGACTGGCCTTCATCTCCGGAGGATTCCTGGTTGTGTTGTTCTAAGCACACACCATTAGCAGCTCACGGGTCGAGGGAAAACAGTGTTATCAGGCCTGGCTCTGATAATCTCAATTGGCTTTACTCAGACTGATAAAAGGTGCTCTGAGGCCACCACGAGAGGGGCCCTTGGTCACCCCCCACTCCCTCCAGTGCACCGCTTCGCCTCCTGGTTACTGTGGCAACTTGTTTAGTGTACAAAAACAGAGCCTTTGTGGGTGTGTGCGCGTGTGTGTGTGTGTGTGTGTGTGTGTAATATGGTGGTTTTTAGCCAACAGGGAATGTTGACAAGAAGCATGTCCATCTCAGAAGCAGCTTGTAGGGAAAATATTTAAATATCCAATTGTTTGTCTACACTGCTTTCATTCTAAATAATTACCATTTCAATGAGAGCAGACACTCTGGTAGCTAAACATTTTTCCGTATACTTTATGTTATATGTTTCCTGCAAGAAGCAGGAAAAACACAAGAGGAAGAACACTTTTTTTTTTTCTTTTTTTTTTCAAAGGAACATTTCGGGAAAAAAAAAAAAAAAGAAATGTGAAAATGGCACTTTGATTCAGTATACTCTCCAGTACATAGAGTATTTCCTCTGCAGTCACTGGAAACCATAAGGGCAAATTTGGCACCTGGGAAGAACATTCCTAACATTATGTGTTTATGGTTATGTCCCAGAATAGGTAAGAATGCACATGGTTGTGATTTTGAGCCCCTCTGTGTGTCTAGGAAGGGAGAAAGCAGGACATATATTTTGGCAGGCCTTGTACTCCGAGCATAAAGAGGGAGTGTGATACCTGGAATGTCTTACTGTTTACTTGCTCAGCTGGTTTTGATGCTTGAAGCGTCTTTCTCTCATAAGTACTGCAGGCATTTCTGACAGCAAAGATATCTAAGAAAACTTTGTCCCTTTTATTCTACTAAAATACTTTCACACTTAGTAAAACTTGATCGTTATTCCTCCTTTAAATCAAAAATCAGGCATTAGAATCATATAATGTCTCATCCAACTCTCTCACTCGCACACCTCCCCTCCCATCCTCCTCTTTTCCTTCTCCCTTATGTTCATATGGATGTGTTTCATCTTTTTCTCTCAGGGGCCCGCGGCACCCCTGCGTAGCTGCACTCTGGATGCCCCCTGGCAAATGAGCACCGCGTCTCTCTTTTCCCAACCGTGCATTTTGTACGTTTAACCATGTCACTTTGAGCCGGGCAGATTACAGGCGTTTAAGTTCATTGGAGAAAGTAAGGGCAGGTATCAGGGCTTCATGGGGGATTAGGAGCCCAAATTGGTTCCAGCTCTCCCTTCCTTCTAATGACCAGTTCTTTAGCCGTACTGATGGTGCCGTGGCTCGTACGTCAGAAAGGGCGGATGGGGGCGTTTTATTTTTTTCTCTCTCTCTCTCTCTCTCTTCTGCTTTTTTGGAACCAGCAAAGGACTCCATCCTGGACAGCTCCAACGTGATTTGAAACCCCTCTTTAATATCAACCACATGGTGGTACCTGTAGTGCTAAGTCCACACAACGTTTTTAGTACGTGAACGTGAATGAGAGAAAGACAGAAGAGAGGAAGAAAGAGAGAAAGGTGGAGAGCCTGCTTGACCTGAGTGGCCAGCTTGCGTTTGACACAGCCCGTGGCATCCCATTCCAAGTTAAAAAGGTTGCCCCTGGCTGGCAGTCACCTCCAAATGACCTCTGGCTCTACGCTGGAAAAGCCACAGGAGCAAGGCCGGCTGGGGAGGCTTTGTGGAGCTGCACTTATTCGCTGCTGTGGTGGTGATAAAACTTCAGACAGCCTAATTGATGGGCTCGCTGACATAACAATACCTTGTGAAAGCACGGAGTGGCCCATGCCTGGTCCTCATTTCTAGACAGCTGGAAGGGGAGCAGAGCCCCCTACAATGCAGCCAGAGTGGGGGTCCCACAGAGGGGAATGGTGGAGGTGGGGGTGGAGTGATGGGGAGTAATGAAAGGAACCATTTGTATCCTGCACTTTGCTAACTTGAAGCTTACTTTGATATTCCAATGGGTGATAACCCTGCAGGAATAACATTGTTTTGGAGGAGGAACCGTAGACAGGATACTGTACACTGCGTTTAAAGTCGGTGTGTGATGTGTGCAACCGGCGGCAGGAGCGACTGAAAAAGACGGAGGGAAGAGGGGATGTGCCACGATGAGGGTTCTTCTGTGCCCAAGCTACACTTAATACTTGAGGAATGTCTCCCTGGTGCCCATAGCAACCAAACGTAATCAAAAGCTTTATTAAAAGAGGGGGGAATAGATCATAAGGAACATTAAAGGTATCCCTCACTGGGTTCCCAAGTCAGCACACAATTGCCCTTTTGTTTGTTGCTGTTTTGTTGTGCGCGCCTCTCTCAAGGACTCGGTGGCTAATGTTGCCATTAAGTCATGCAAAACTGTTTTGTCTTTGTGGTGGCTTGTGATGAATCTTTCTCGGTGTGAATGCAGGGTGATTTAATGTTTGTTTTTCTCTTCTCTCTCTCTTTTTTTCTCTTTGCCAGGTTCATTAACGCCAGGAGAAGAATAGTACAGCCTATGATTGACCAGTCAAATCGAGCAGGTAAAAAAAAAAAAAAAAATTACAATAAAAGTACAACCCAACCCAACGTACAGTAGAGTACTGCTTCTCTCCCTTTCTCTCCTCAGCATGAAGACACCCTTTCCAAATCCTTTACTGGCATGCACATCATGCCTGGAGCCCAGATTTTTTTTTTAAGGGGTACCCTACATCTCCCCCCCACCCACCCGCACCCACCCCCAAAAAAAAAAATCCCTTCTACTCCCTCCTCCTACTCTCCCTCCCTTCATCCCGCTTTTCCATTTTCTCAATGAGATGTGTTCAGCAGTGGTGCGGGCCGTTTACTGATTGACTCTAATTGGAGATTTCCCAGTCTAAGTGGAGAGAGAGGTGTATTAGCACTCTCTCTGTGAATTGCTAATTGGACACAAGAGGAGTGCCAGAAACGCTAGCAGCAATTTATGAGTTATCTCCTTTTTTAAGCTGTTTTGTTTTTAATTTTTTTTTTATTCCAGTCCAGGGTTAAGAGAGGGAGGGGTGGGGGGTTGCGGGTCTTGAAATTTCAAATTTGAAATTTCAAGACCACTGCATAGCTAGTCAGTCAGATTTTCAGTTAATAGCATCGGTTAGAGTATTTTCAGTCATGAAAACTGGCCTTAGGAGGGAGAATTTAGTTTTCTGTGACGCTTTGATGAAATCAAATATGATGTTTTGATTTAACGTCTATACAGGGAAAGATTTCCATTTCTTTAGAACAGATTATGGAAAGCTACATTTTGTTAATTTGTAGCACATTTATTTCACATATGTATTGTGATCAGATTACAAAAAGCACAAAGTGAGTAGTAAACACCCCACTCTGTGTTCCTGTGGAATGATTCAGTCACCCTAAGCTTCATTGACTGTGGCATTACCAAAAAGAAGCCAAGTAATTTGTCTCAGGGAGGGAAAAGCTGTTTTTGTTGATTAGCAAGCTCCCCGTCTTAAAAAGGTCCCTACACGCCGGGGTGGAGATTGTTGAAACGAACATGAGCCGTGATTAAAATGAGATGCACTTACAAATGTGGGCGACTCTTTCTGCAGTCGCTGCGCTTTTCTGTGGCATATTTGTCAGATATGCAACCAATACGTGCCAATCAACAATCTCTACAAAAATAGCATGACTAACAGCTCCCCCTAATCTTTACGAATTACAGATTATCCAAGATAATGCTGTTATAGCCCCGGAATACACAGTTTTCTACAGTCTCCAAAGAGCATTAGTTCATTAGGGCTGATAATAAACAAAACAAGATACAAATTAGCTAATTGGTAGCTACTTTTGATTCTAAATGACCGATAATCAGGTAAATCATAATATTGAATGATTAAGCAGCTTTGGGATTATCTACGTCTTTAGATTGTATGTTATGTTACGTGGAATTGTATTCTACCTTATGTTTAAGAGTAGACATGTTGAAACTGTGTACTGTACATCACTACTGATCTATTTGAGAACTGACTGGGTGAATTGCCTGCCGTGGCAGAAATTCTTCTCATCCTGTCAAACTGCATGCTTTCTTCTGTCGGTTAGAGAACAATGTATCTCCTGTGAGTGTGGTTTTGAATGACACTGGCAGAGTGTGCGCGCGAGTGTGTGTGTGTGTGTGTGTATTGTGCTTGCATGTATGCATGCCTGCATGAGGACCTACTGTATGCGTGTTTGCATGCCACACGTCAGTCAATGCGGTCCACAAACATGAGCACAATGTCTTACAGTATGTTTGGGCTGGAGCTGGGACAATTGCTGATTGTCTGGTGTGTTTTCTCTTCTTCTTCCCCCCTCCCTTTTTCATGTCCACGTTTTGACTACAATCAGGTTTTCTTCTTGATCCTTCAGTGAGCCAAGGAGCAGCATACAGTCCAGAGGGCCAGCCAATGGGCAGCTTCGTGCTGGATGGTCAGCAACACATGGGGATCCGACCAGCCGGTAAGTCCGTCCACCTCTCTCCGCCTGTCCCACTTCCCTTTGTCATGCCTGCTTTACTAGACAACAGTCTCACCTTCCGTTATCGTAGATCTGATCAACACTGATCCTCTTGTCTGAAGCATGAGATTTAGTCACAGTCGCAGCACTGAGCAGGTCCCCGAGTCAGCCACATAAACCTAATGCTAACAAGTGCTACACAAACACTATAACACTTCTCTTTAAAGGCACCCCCCCACCCACCGTTCCCCAGACTGTCTGCTGCCTGTCTTGCTTGTGTTTTTTTTTTCCTCTAATCTAACACATCTGGGAATATGCTTCACAATTGATGATAATAAAAAAAAAGGGATTTGTGGGATGCAATGCAAAATAAAAACACGAATGCCACTTCTTCACATCTTCCTCTTCCCCCACCCCTGTCATTCCCCATCTAACACTAACCAACCTCATCCTCTCTATGAGTGGGCATCCTCTGACCTGTCTGTGATTCAAACTCCTGCTGACCTTTTTCCTGGCGTTTATCTCCTCTTTCTAGGGCCTATGAGTGGAATGGGGATGAATATGGGCATGGATGGGCAATGGCACTACATGTAACCTCCATCTTGTAAAGCAAAACGCAAAGAAAAAGGGGGAAGTAAGTACTGGGCTCTTTTGCTTGTATTTTACACTTTTGGGCTGTGGGTTTTATTTTATTTTCCACCCACAATTCCCTTTCACTTCTCCAGCACTACTCTTTCTTACCCTGGCCATAATTTAGTAGCAAGCCCCCACAGCATCAACAACTATGAGCTAGCATGCAGGACTGTTTGAGCAAGATGCTTTAAGCGGTTGGGGGGGGTGTAGAAGACTTGGGAAAAAGGGGGAACCGTCCTGGGACAGAGAGGACCGGACTTGTGGCGCCAGACAACAGGAACAACAACAGAAGAAGGAGCGGACGAAACAACCTGGCATGGCATGCACAAATTTATTTATCACAACAGCGCCATCGCTCTCCCCATCCTGGACAGCCAATGCAAATGTTGGACATTTAGGGAAAAAATAACATCTCCAGGGGAAGGGGCTGACGGGGAGAAATTAAGCAGGCTCCAGTGAAGCGATAAAGAAGGAGAAGTGAAACTGTCCTCCGAGTGACATAAATCTGTCTGGGGAAGGATTGATGCCCAAATTATCTTATATGCAAAGACGGGAACACCGCAGTACATTACGGTCCTGAGCGAGATATACGGGCCATGGGTGACATGGCCGATCCTTCACTGGGGGTTTGGTTTGAGCTGTGTAAAGGGAGGAATGAGTTTGTGTGTGTGTGTGTGTGTGTGTGTGCGTGCAGGTGCATGTTGTTGTGGGAGGTGGAATGGGGGGGTCCGTGGGGATTGGATGCGTCGGGGTTGTGTTTTTGATTATTTTTTACTGGAGGGAGACGATTTAAAGGGGGGGCGGGGGCCAGTGACTAGCCTGACCTGAGACTCACAGACAAGAGCAGGGAGACATTGAGATAAATTTATAAGGTTGTAGACACAAGCATGGCTGCATCTAAAAAGGAGGGGAACTGTTTCACACATACAGATACAGTCCCTCCGTGTCACTGTCTCTCTGGCTCTCTGGCTCTCTCACACACACACACACACACACACACACACATACACACAATCCCTATACAGCTAAATGGCGGCAGTCTGATTAAGCTGGCCATTCCGCCTCCCGCTAGTGCCACAGTGCTGACATTTGAAAAATCAAGACATATCACATCCCAAAGGCGGCAGGGCAGAAGAGATTTTATTTAACACCTAAACTCCCTTGCCCAATGAGGCACAATATAATAACACTTACCTTGATTAAAAGAACCCTTTATATGTAAATGGAGACTGGATTTTCCAAAGGGTCACAGCGGCAATTCTGCCGACAGAGATCATTTCACCCCTCTAGTCCTTGCTTCCTCTCTCTCTCTTCCTCTGTTTCTCTCTGTCTCTCACTCGTTTTCTCTCATCCCCTCCTGTCTTTGCTAATGGCAGCAGGGAAAAAAAAAAAAAAAAATCAGGAAGCAATGTTCCCTAAAACAGCCACACAGAGACAACATTTGCTCAGGTTGGCTAATTCTTAATATAGGGCTATATAATTTTGAGACTATTTAATTACGTAACATACTTTATGCTTCATGACCAATTACATTAATAGCTTAATACAGAGGAATATTATCCTCTCTTGATTTGATTACACAGCCACACAATATGGTATATTTGGTACTTAATTATGGCCAGCCATTGAGCAGGACTGCTGTGCCATAACAGAAGTGCACAGCCAGCCAGGGAGGCAGGCATGCAGAGATGGAGCGAGAGAGAGGCCCAGTCTGTCCTCACTTATTGTCTTCAGATGGTTTTACCACTCTTGTTAATAAAGGGAGGGGAGGGGGGGTCTCAGATCTACTTAACGGAATGACTGCAGCTTACAAGACTGGAGATTAGCAGCTTACAGTGTCAAAAACATCTGCTGGGCCTTTTAACAGGAGCTGCTCCAGGTTATATGGAGGTGAGGGCACCCATCATACCCCAACACCCTGAATGATTTATTTATTTTATGACCTCAGTAGTGAGGTTTTAAGAGACCTGCTCTGACAAACATGTGCATTTCAAATGAACTGACATGGAAAGGGAGTATTAGAAAATGGCACAGCTTTCAACCAATGAGACTGGTCATTAATCTTGGCCTTTGCTGTCTCTCCTTTCCTCTCTCCTTTCTGCCCTCCTCCTCTTCCTTTTCCCCTCACCGGGGCCCTCCAGTGTAATTTCTTAATTGCAGTGTACTAAGGTGGAGGAATGCAGAGAGTGAGCATGCCTAGTGACCTTGCGGCGACCTCTCCCCTCCTATTACAGCTTCTAATCCCCCAGGGGTTCACATTACAAAGCAGGCCGGCCCAGACCCAATCCCAGAACCCAGGCCCCCTGGCTCCAGCGGGACCCCCTGCTCTTACTCGTCTCTCCCCAAGGTCCAGGCCTCTAGACAAGCCATGTTCCCATACTCCAGTCCCAGGCTCCAGGAGCAACCCCCCACATCTTACTTTTTTCTTTCTGATTACAACAAACAGCCGTGTGAAAAGTCAAACAGTGGCACTGCTGAGCCAGCTCTGTGTCCTGGGTCCTGTCACAGTGTGAGAGATGCCAGCATGCTGAGGCCTCTGCACATATGAAGTGGAATCCATCTTAAGGGACATCAACATACCCCACCTCCTTTTCCTTTCCTTTCTCTTTCTTCTTCTTTTATCTTTGTTACTTTGTCTTGCTGCTGTTTCCTACTCTTTTACTCATCTTTAGCTCTAAAACCCACACTGCGTGCATCAAGAGCAGCACTTCATTTCGCTTAAAATGCTCTCAATGAAGGGTGGAACCAAGCTCTTAATGCTCGCTGCCTTGGCGATGCAGCTAACCAAGTCCTAAATTATTTAATAACTTCTTTAAGGAATTCCAAATCAAATATGTTCACAGAGGCACGTCCCCGAGAGAGAATGCCTGTTCAGTTTGTCACTAAAGTCAGCTGGGGAATTAACTGTTCCACTTGTAAAAGTATTAGCACTTCTCCACATCAATACGGCTGGTTGGTTTTCCTCACATCCTCCAGGACTACAGTGTCTGTGGATGACTGAGGATCATTTTCCAACCTGAGACCTGACCACAACGCTATTGGGCATTGTAAACCACTCACCATAGCTTAAAATAGCCCAGTGCAATAATGTCTCTCTTAACTTGCAGAAGCTAAAAGCGCTGTATTCACAGACGCAGTGTCATAAAATCTGCTCAGCTCCTTGTTGTTGAAGTGAAATTGAATTAAGGGCTGCTAATGGAGAAGGAGGATGTCAAAGCTGCACTGAGAAAATAATTTTATTGACTGCGTAAACACATTCCTCTCCTTCGGTCTTCCTCTCAGGTCTGCCAGGCATGCCAGGGGAGTACGTACCTCAGAGCGGTCCTATGGGCATGAGCATGGCCCCACCCACTTACACCAACCCTCATCAGATGACCTCTCACCCCTCCCAGCTCCGACACGGACCCCCTCTCCACGCGTACCTGCCCGATCACCCCCACGCCCACCACCCTCATCACCAGCCTCACCACGCCATGCTGATGCACGGAGGACCCTTGTCGCACCCAGGAATGACCATGTCTGCACAGAGACCCCCTTTGCTCACTCCCATTGACCCCAGTACTGGAGGACAAGGCCTGGACATCCATGCCCAATAGTACAAGGGAACTTTGCTACCACGACAACAGCAGCTACTACAAGAAAACAGTAAAAAAAAAAAGAAAGCAGCAGCTCACAATAAATCCTATTTTGAGACTATTTTTAAGAATAAAAATCGAACCCTTTTGACCAGAATTTGACACTAAAGAAACAGAATTCCAGATGAGCTGTGATAATTCTTTTTNTTTTTTTTTTTTTTTTTTTTTTTTTTCTTTTTTTTTAAACTTGTCAATTTTGTTACTTTCATCCAAACGGAGGACCAAGCTGACAAGAACACTTTGTAAAGTCTTGGGCTTTTGGTTAAGATCAACAGAGGATGTTCTGACGTACACGTGTGCAACGAATGGACAGATGCACGCATTCGAAAAAACACACACTTCTCGCACACTCACTTACACACCATCATAAACATGTTCAGTACACTTTCATGTGACGCGCTCAAACGCTTCTAAAATAAAATCACTCTGGAAGATTTAAAAAAGAAACAACAGAAAGACTCCAAGAGTTATAACTACTGTAGTATAAAAAGTATAGATAAATAAGTTAAAACTTGTGCATTTTTTGTTGATCACATGGTTTATGTTTCCTGAACTAGTTTTAGAATTAAAGGTTAACCTTTTCTCTCTCACACTGTGTGTGCTCCTTCCTGGAGGAGAAACTGTCTCGCAGCACAGCACTATAAAAGAAAAAAAAAAAAAAAAACAATAAGAAGATGGAACATCTCAAAAAGGCTCCAAACCACAGAGGGCAATCAGGTCCTGTCCCCCATAAGAACAGGGCATGATGGGAAAAGGCTGCTAAATGACACCGGATCGCTCCAGAAGATTCAGTTTGAACATTTGTCATGCCCCTCTTTTTTTTTTTTTTTTGGTTCATGAATGAATGTTGCCCTGTAGGTTTTAAAGAAAAAAAAGTTCTTTGTTTGAATTGCCCAAGCACTGGATTGTGTTGGTTTTATACATTTTTATTTTAATATTATTTTATTTTTTGTACCCTGGACTCTCATTGGTAAGAGCCTATTGAAGGAAGCTTAATAGTGGAAAAGCAACATCCTACGGCGCTTCTTTATCTGCGGATCAACATTCTTGCCATAAGGACAATACTGACACAAACGTTGATTCTGTGGGACTGGAGAAGCATTTGATGGTTGATCCCTCTAAAACCCTAAAACTAAAAAAAAAAAAAACAAAAAAAAAAAAAAAAAAAAAAACAAAAAAAAACAAAACAAAAAAAAACTTAAATTATGAACTCAATGCTTTTGGGGGAAAAAGCTGAGAGAATATTGTAACAAACTTCGTACAGAGTTCAGTCTATTAATTGTTTCATGTTAGATATTCTATGTGTTTACCTCAATTGAAAAAGAATGTTTTTGCTAGTTTCAGATCTGCTGTGGCATTGATATTGTATGTCCATGAATTCCTTCCTTTTTCAGCACGTGTTCCTCACTAGATGATAAGATGCCGTCTCCCTTAAGCTTTGTCAAAAATACATTAAATACTTGTATGAGGACTGTGACGTAATGTTTAAAAGGTGTTCAGTCACAAATGCTGTAATAAATATTTCATTTTTGATTTTTGTTAGATTTTTGTGTGATTAACTGTGTTACAGTTTTATCCATGTTCCCATTTTAATACTAATACAAGTAATTGGTTCATCAGCATTATTAGTATTATTATTATTAATATTGTTATTATATTATTATTATTATTATTATTATAAAATGTGCATTTGGCATGGTGTTGCCTGTCAACAATGTAATTTTTAATTTTACTTATGCAAATAGTCATCAAAATATACCATTTAAGTTCCCATTTTTCCCAGCACTCTATTACCAATGGCTTATTTTAACCAGGCTGCCCATTTGGTTATTGAATAACCTCTTTAAATGACAATGACAAATTGTGTTTGAAATATATCTAGCCATGGCAATTTATTTAGACACACAAACATATCCTCAAAATGATAAACAACTGTCAAATGCAAATGAAGGGTGCAAATTACACAGCAAATTTACCACCAACCAAGTTTTAGACCAAAACATAAACTATCAGCACTGAAGTGGAGGTAAATAAAAGGAGGTCAACTGTGGCCTTTAGGTCTTAAACACCAGGGATGAAAATGACAGAATAGACATGAAAAAATACATCAAATTTTTCTGAAAAACATTTGTTTTATTATAAATAAATTTTCTTTTTTTAATACCCCAGTTTGCTATTTACAGAAACAAATAAAATAAATAAAACTTAATAATATTTTAGATTTCTGCCTGTATAATAAGGTAGGATAACTTTAATTTGCAAATAAAGCAAGTTAACTCAGTTTAGATGAATTCACCCTTCACTCTATCACTGTCGTTCAAACAATAGAGCAAGGACTTGTCCCCAGTGCTCCTACAGCGGGAACTATAGCTGGCCCTCTCCCTCCGAGTCTCTCTCTGCTCTGTTCTGCCGTTTTGCAGCGCCGCCTGTCGGCATCACCTGGTACTGCCGTGCAGGAGCACACAGATGGGCTTTGATAGGCTATCTCCTCTCTTTTTCTCCATCTCTTTGCCTGTGTTTGCCCGCGGCCATCCAGCTCATGGCCTTAAAGCAGAAACGACAACATCACTTCGGCTGAAATATTTTTTGTCCTTCCCCAAGAAGTTTAAACTTCTGCTTTGTTGGATTCGTGGCTTTGAATTTCTATTTTTCTTCAATTATTTTGGCTTTTCATTTTTATTAGGAACACTGCTTACCACTGACTTAATCCTGTGTTTAAATTAAAAAGTATCTCAAATAATAATGATAATAATAATAATAATAACCATAATCATAATCATAATAATAAAAGTAATCATAATCATTTTATTATTTGTATTTAGTGCACTTCCACAAACTGGCCTGGCTAGGATTTTCGGCCATAATATAAGATGTGTATTCTTAATATTCTTATGTGGCTTTTTTTGTTTGTAATTTTGTTTATTCTAACTTTGGCCTAAATATGAGGTGATCCTTTATTTTCTATTTATTAACTTTTATTCAAAACTATCGTAAAATATTAATTATTAGAATTTATTTTTCTGCAAACAGAGTTCTTTGTACAGCTGTGGCCTGTTGATTCATTTATTTAACGGTTGGCTTTTGCACGTTTCTGTTTAAAAAAAAAACAAAAAGCAGAAAGTGATGGAAATCACAATGATTTCTATTTGTGATTTAAATCACGTTTACACAACAAATATTTCTGGTACAATTTCCCCGCATAGAAAGCTATTTTCCAAATGTAAAACTAATATAAACAGTTTATTTTATGTTTATTCAAAATAGGTCATTTTTATCCTTCTGATGGTCAGCCTGCAACACTATTTCTTCCTCGGTTATTTGCTTTGAATGTTACGCAGGTTGTTTTATTGAAATTCCGGACATAATACCTGCACAGATCATCTTTGTGTAACATTTTATTGCTTATACACAGGGGGGTGGTATGGACCCTAACAGGTAGAAAAAATGTATATTTTTATTGGTTTTACACTGGAGTCTAGTTAATGATGCCTCTTCTTCTCTTAACTATTTAAAACCTAAAAGTCCTTGTTGTTTTTCTGGTGCTCCATTATTCTGTGGATGAAACGGAAGGAAGAAGCCCTCCGTTTTGTGCGGAGATTATCAGATGAAAAAGAGAGAAAACGTGAGGATTACTGTGGATGGAGAGGATTTTAATATTAATAGTTTTTTTTTCTTTTCTTTTCCCCCTCCCCCTCTCCTCCTCCCTTCCTCCCCCACACCCCCCCTCTTCCCCGATGAGACAGAAGGTAGATTGCCTCTGCTGCTTTCCTTTTGCCGATTTGGTGTGACAGGGATGATGGATGATCCAGCCGAGCTAAACAACTCCTCCCCTTCATCTCCTCCCTGTCAAAGCCAGTCCGGGCTGCTGCTGCACGAATAAAATAAGGAATATATTCCCTCTGCACTGCTGCACAATGCAGCCCGCTCCTCTGGAAGAGACACTCCACTTCGCCCGTGCAACAATATTAAAAGTCCACACACATACACACACATACACACATCGCTCACCCCGCTAGAAACACTCACTAACTTGTGTGTGTGTGTGTGTGTGTGTGTGTACGCGCGCGCGCGCCACAGAGGCAACATGTTAATAATGCTTATGTTATTGGCTGAGAGAGAGGACTGTCTGCAAATATGTATTTTTAGATTCACGAGTGCATCTGCAGGCAGCAAGGGAGGAAAGACGGTTTAAAAAAAAAAAAAAAAGTTTAGTTCGCTCTTTGTTTTTGCTTCAGATTGCTGATTTGGATAGTGGTCATAAAAATGGACACGCAGGGGCTGAGTGTCCTTCGCTTTGCAGCTGGCTCTCCCCAAAATGGCTTGCTCTGGGGGACAGTTTTTAGGTTTTGTGTATTTAGGCCTGTGTGTGTCTGTGTGTGTGAGAGAGAGAGTGAGTGTGTGTATGTGTGTGTGCTGCCCTCCTTTTTTTTTTTAAACATTTCAGCAGTTTTCTCTCCTCTTGCCATAAGGTGTTTCTATGACTACGTTATGTAGGCCTGTGTGAGCGGGTCAGAGGCGGGGGTCCCTGGGAGAAAAGGGCCGCATTTGGCTGATCATTTATCAATGTCAACCGCATAATGATTCTCCCTGCAGTCCCCCTATTGATGAGGATAATTACATTAGCTCAGAGTGACTGATCAATAAAGCCCAGGGAAAATGGTTTATTATAGCACCACCGAAAAGGCTTTCTGGCTGCTTTTTTTTTCTTTTTAAATAAAAGCCAGGGCTGATCTGCGCAAACCAAACTCCTCAAAGATAATCGAGTGAGAGGCAAAACTTCATCTGGTCGCAGATTTCATGTTGTAATTTTCACTCTTCAACGCTTTTTCTTCCAGAATATTGCTGTTTTTTCCTTTACTCTTTCTCTTGTGCTGTTTGTTGTTTGAAGTGAAGCATTTTTCCATCTACAAATACACTTTTTTTATCGCATGAGGAAATAGTTCATCACCCTCTTGGGTTAGAAAGACTACAGCTTTCCACCCAGATTTAAAGTACATGAAGTCACACAGACTCTTGTCTTGTGTGATCTTTTTCA